AGAATGGATGAAGAAAGTATGGAATATATACATATTAGAGTATTACTCAGCAGTAAAAAACAAGGACTTCTTGAATTTTGCATACAAATGGATGGAAATAGAAAACACTATCCTGAGTGAGGTAAGCCAGACCCAAAAAGAGGAACATGGGATGTACTCACTCATATTTGGTTTCTAGCCATAAATAAAGGACATTGAGCCTATAATTCATGTCCCTAGAGAAGCTAAATAAGGTGAATCCAAAGACAAACACATAGGCATCCTCATGAATATTAACCTTCATCAGGCGATGAAAGGAGACAGAGACAGAGACCCACACGGGAGCACCGGACAGAAATCTCAAGGTCCAAATCAGGAGCAGAAGGAGACGGAGCACGAGCAAGGAACTCAGGACCACGAGGGGTGCACCCACACACTAAGACAATGGGGATGTTCTATTGGGATCTCACCAAGGCCAGCTGGCCTAGGTCTGAAAAAGCATGGGATAAATCCGGACTAGCTGAACATAGCGGACAATGAGGAATACTGAGAATTCAAGAACAATTGCAGTGGGTTTTTGATCCTACTGCACGTACTGGCTTTGTGGGAGCCTAGGCAGTTTGAATGCTCACCTTACGAGACCTGGATAGAGGTGGGCAGTCCTTGGGCTTCCCACAGGTCAGGGAACCCTGATTGCTCTTCGAGCAGATGGGGGGGGGGGACTTGATCGGGGGAGGGGGAGGGAAATGGGAAGCGGTTGTGGGGACGAGGCAGAAATCCTTAATAAATAAATAAATTTAAAAAATAAAAAAAAAAGACTGGAGAGGGAGGGGGAGGGGGGAAAGGAAGGTAAATAGGAGGAAGGGAGGAGGTGAAAATTTTTATTAATAATAATAATAATAAAATAAAAATAAATAAATTGCTTATCTTACTAGTAAAAAAAAAAACTCTCCAGTACACCACCTAACACAGTTATCCCAGGGATAAGCTGTTTTTTTTTAAATCTACTAATTTATTATGTATACAGTATTCTTCATATTCTGTCTGCATGTATGCCTGCAGGCCAGAAGAGGGCACCAGACCTCATTACAGATGGTTGTGAGCCACCACGTGGTTGCTGGGAACTTAACTCAGGACCTTTGGAAGGGCATGCAGTGCTCTTTATCACTGAGCCATCTCTCCAGCCCAATAAAGCTGAATTTTGTTTGTTTGTTTTTGTTTTTATTTTTGGGACAGGGTTTCTCTATAGTTTTGGTGCCTGTTTTGGAACTAGCTCTTGTAGACCAGTCTGGCCTCAAACTCATGGAGATCCACCTGCCTCTGCCTCCCTAGTACTCTGATTAAAGGTGTGGGCCACCACCGCCTGGCCCGATAAGCTGTTTTTGCTACCACACCAAACCATTCTCTTTTACATTAGGGAGCAGTGGGCACCTGAGGTGTGGTCAGCCACTAGATTTAACAGTGAGGGGGGCATGTCTGAGCATGGTCTTAATTCCACTCTCCCTAAATTGAGGTCTCAGAGGACCACCCAGGGATCAGAGGACTGAACTGAGGTAGGAGACGTATAGAGGGCTATCACGCTAACTGGGTGGGTAAGAGCTACAGAGTGGGCTGTGAGCTAAGGGGATAGGAACAGGCATAAGAGACACTGAAGGAGATGAGGACTCACAACTGCATGGTCCCCTGAGTGAGCATTTTGCTCAGATCTGTGTTAACAGGAAGGAATTCCTGCTGTGGGTGAAGGCCTATTCTGAGGAGTGAGGTAAACCGGAAGTGCATGACTCTGGCCTGGAAGGTGAGGGTAGGAAGAATATTATGAACAGAGAGACATAGGTTCTGTTGATACAGGGGTCAGTTTTGTTTTTTTTTTTTTGTTGTTGTTGTTTTTTTTTTTTTTTTTTTTTTGATTTTTCGAGATAGGGTTTCTCCGTAGCTTTTGGTTCCTGTCCTGGAACTAGCTCTTCTAGACCAGGCTGGCCTCGAACTCACAGAGATCCGCCTGCCTCTGCCTCCCGAGTGCTGGGATTAAAGGCGTGCGCCACCACCACCCGGCTTATACAGGGGTCAGTGAGTTAGGTCAGAGATCAGCAGTCGCCCACCCCTCCCCCCTCCAACCCGCAGGAGGTCGCTAAGGCTTGGTATTTAGCCAGTCTGGCCTCTCTTACCCTGTAACCCCAGTTTGATTCTGTAACCTCCAGAGGCACACAAATGGTACAAACTGCCCCCTCCCTGTGTGGGTGTGTGCATGTGTGTGAGAGAGTGCTTTCATTTGGTTACAGTTTGGTGGGTTTGTGGGAGGGATATTTTCTTTGCTTGGGTTTTAGAGTTTTGTTGTATTGGGTTTTGTTTTTTGAAACAGAGACACGGTTTCTCTGTAGCCTTGGAGCCCTCCTGAAACTCACTCTGTAGGCCAGGCTGATGTCAAACTCAGATCTGCCTCTCTGCCTCCTGAGTGCTGGGATTAAACATGTGTGCCATCACCATACCCTGGTGCTTCTGTTTTTTGAGAAAGAATTTAAAGTTGGATGGGTGGAGGGAAGAAGATCTGGAAAGACTTGTGGGAGAGGAAGAATATGATTTAAAGTTTTTGAAGTTAAAAAACTGGGGGGAGAAACCCTGTCTCAAAAAAACAAAAAAATAAAAAAATAAACAATAAATAAATGGGGGGAATGGACAGAAAAAAAATCTATCACCTCAGACTGCATACCAACCTTCAAGACTGCCTGAAGCTGGGTTGGTTGTGTTCTCATTGAGTCCCTGTAGAGATGGGAACCAGCTTAGCAGAACAGACTCCAGCAGGTCAGGCAGCAGCCTCCAGGCTGGCACTCCACACTTTTCCACTGGCTCCTCTGAGGCCTTTTGTTTTTCCTGCAAACTCTCCCGCCTCTACTTTCCAAGTACAGGAATCTGAGGAGTGCCTTGTCCCTCGCCCAGCCTTCACAGAAGCTTGAAGGACCTTTGGAATCCTACTTGCACTGGGCTGTGGTTTGCACATTCCTTTAATACCAGCACTGAGACAGCAAAGAAACAATTTCCTGAGTTCCAGGTCAACTTGAGATAAAGAGACCATTGTTATAAGTATTTTTTAATATTTAGTGTTGGGAATATGTATGCATGACACAGCACTTGTCTTGGCCAGTGTATTTATCTCAGCACTTTCAGGAGAAGCCTCTAGATTACACGTTAGGATTGGTAGTGGGAGGAGGGACTATAAATAGCTGAGAGCTGGAGAGATGGCTCAGTGGATAAGAGCACACTGGTTGCTCTTCCAGAGGCAGAATGTTATATACACGACATGATCTTAACTTCTAAGCCATCTCTCCAGTTCTCCACATATATGTATATATACATATATACATATACATATATGTTTTTGAGACAATTTCTTTTTTTTTTGTTTTTTTTTTGTTTGTTTGTTTTGTTTTTTTTTTTTGAGACAGGGTTTCTCTGTGGCTTTGGAGCCTGTCCTGGAACTCGCTCTGTAGACCAGGCTGGTCTCGAACTCACAGAGATCCGCCTGCCTCTGCCTCCCGAGTGCTGGGATTAAAGGCGTGAGCCACCAGAGACAATTTCTTTATGCAGTCCTGGATATCCTGGAACTGGCTCTTAGATGAGGCTGGCTTCAAACCCTGATTTACCAGTCTCTCCGACTGCAAGGATTATAGGCCTGCACCACTACCTTCCGGGCCTCCCTTATATATTAACACATATAGAAATGAAAACAAGAGGGCATGAAACAAAAATCTTTATTGCTACAATATACAAATACAGGGGGAGTGCAATGGGTAGACTTAGGCACTCATTAACAAAACAGGTTTACTCCAGACATCTACAATACAGTTCTTAAGGTCTATCAATCCTTCAAAACAAGACAGGGACATTTGTCCATATACTGGAGACCTTTATGTTTAGGGACAGCCAGAGGGATAGAAGCATCAAATAGTGCCCCACAGACATGCGATTTACCATGGTGACATACTTCAGAAATCTCTGCGTGTAGGTTAAGGCAGGAAGATTTCAAGGCCAGCCTGCGCAATATACCACTATGAAAGAGACGGAGAGGGAGCAAGCTCTGTGGCTTATCTGTGACCTCCCAGTACAAATGGACTAGATAGAATGCCTCGACCATTCCATTCCCCAAACCTCATAGGAGTGCAGTGCTCGTTTTAGGCTGGAAACTTTGTACACAGAGGTACTAAGCAGACACGTAGTGGGACATAACCGACACCCAGGCAGAAGACAAGCTCTCCTGCCTTTACTTTCATTAATCAGGATTCTCTCAAGGTTAAAGGAACAGAACTGATAGAACTATATATAGTAGAAATAGATGAACTTTAGTAGACCAAGGATGTAGGAGTCGTCCATCCACAAGGGTGGAAGTCTCTTACAGTTCCCTTCTTCCATATCTTTTTATATATGCTGCCAAGAGAAGGCATGGTTTCAACACAGGATGGGTGTGTTTCCTCAAATAATGTGATGAAGAATCTCACCTCACAGGAATGCTCAGCAGCATGGGTTCTAGTTGATTACAGGCATAGCCATGTTGACAAACCAGGTTAGCCATCAGAGACGTCTAGAGATCTTGGACAAGGGGTCAGGGAACACAGGGTCTTTCGAGCTCAAGAATCAAAAGAAAACCATGGCACTGAATCCAGGTTAATGGCATGGAAGGACACCAGAACACCCAGTCAAAAAAATCAGACCCTCCCTCTAAACCGCCATGTAGGAGAAAGTCACTTACGATCATGTCCTGGCAAAACCCTTTTAGAAAATGCAAAACTGGGGCTAGAGAGACAGCTCTGCAGCTCAGAGTGCCTGTTCCTACAGAGGACCCAGGTTAGATTCCCAGCCCCACACGGTAGTTCACAGCCACCTGTAACTCCAATTCCAGGAAATCCAATCCTTCATCTGACCTCCACAAGCACCAAGCATGCATATGTGCAAGGAAATCACTCACACCCTTGATGAAATACCTATTGCTAAGTTTTCAATTCTCAGTATCAAGAAGCAACCTTCCCCACTTACTGCCAACAATGACAAAGTCTGGCCTCCAGGTCATAGATACAGCGCTGACAACATTTGTGACACATGTGTGTAGCAAAGGAGACTCTCTTGGGCTGCCTGACAGTAATCAGTGTATCCATGAGCTCAGGACAAAGTTTAGCAAATCTTCCCACATGGACATCACCCCTGTCATCATAGCATTCTAGAGGGGCGGGGTACAGCTCTTGGATCAGCTGGTTGAGGTTGGCTGTGTGATATAGAAGGTCTTTCAGGACAGCCATGGAGATATCATTGTCATAGAAATTGACCCTAGTGAGTTGGGAGCACTGGCTCAGGGCAGGCAGGAGGGTAATGAGCTGAGAGTCCACCATCCAGCAGCCCTCCAACTCTAGGGTCTGCAGAGTGCCCGCAACACTGTTTAGGAGATCACGGAAAGGTGTAGGATATAGGTCAATTAATTTCACAAGCCTCAGATTCAGGTGTTTCAGCTGATGGAGACTCTGACTCTGGGACAAGGAATTCAAGTCTAACTGTGAAAGCTTGCACACAGTGATGGATAGGGTCTCCAAAGGGGTCTTCAGGTACCTAGGGAGAGACCAAGATATTAGTTCTGGCACAATGAGATGGAGAGAGCTGCTGTTAGATGTAGCATAGAGGTAAAGGTGACCACTTGTTTAGAAGTCCTGCAACTATATAATGGAGATCAATATCCAGGATCGAGGATGCTGCTTATTGGGGAGTCTCACTATTCTTGGCAGAGAGAGAGGCATGAAGTACCAGTAATGGGACTTCTTTAGTCCATGGGTAGCAGCTTCCATTACTATGAAGAAGAGAACCTGTGCTGGCCACATTAGCCCAGGGCGCACACTGGAAAAACTAACCCATGAAAGATCTGGAAGTCTTGAATCATCTTTTGCCTCCCCTGGAACAGTCTCTGCCCTTATTCGGTTTCTCTTTTTTTTCTTTTTTTTTTAAGATTTATTTATTTATTTATTATGTATACAATATTCTGTGTGTATCCCTACAGGCCAGAAGAGGGCACCAGACCCCATTACAGATGGTTGTGAGCCACCATGTGGTTGCTGGGAATTGAACTCAGGACCTCTGGAAGAGCAGTCAGGGCTCTTAACCTCTGAGCCATCTCTCCAGCCCCCTTATTCAGTTTTTCATCCCTGCCTCTCACCCACACAATTGGTATCACTCATTTCTACCCATCTCTATTCAGACCCTACATGTGGGAAGTTAGAAGGCACACAAATGCCAAGCACCAAGTTCCCCCGTGGATCTGTGGAGGTAAGGATCCTCTCTAGTTCTGGGCCCACTGTTCTGACCGATTCCCTGCCCCTTAGACAGAATCCCAAGGAAGAACACAGAGCACATACTTCCTACATCTGATGCCCTCCCCAGTTGGTCTTGTAGCAGGACTGCTCAACCCATCTCCTACTTGGCTCAGGGAAGAACACAGAGTGCATCCTTCCTACTCTGATGCCCTCCCTAGCTGGTCTTGTAGCAGGACTGCTCAACACATCGCCTACTCGGCTCAGCCTCTGCTTAGTGAGTGGCCACTGAACAAACTGAGCTCCCAAATCAGTTAAGATAGAAACAAAACCCAACTTAGACGCTGCAGTGACTCCATGATTGTGAACTCCAGTGGCTGGCTGGCTTCACTCAGGTACCCACTACTCTCTTTGCCACCCCACCTTACCTGAACAACTGTTTCATGTGCTCACTGGAAAAGTAGACGCCATTCATGGAGAGATGCTGCAGACAGTTGAGTTTAGAGAACTGAGAAACAAACTTAGTGATACACTTCTGTATGTCTGAGGGGGTATTTAGAACCTTAAAGGTGTTCTTGTGGATCCGTGTTAAAAGGAGTTTTTGAAGATTTCTCATCTGGTCCAGGTAAGATACAAAATGCACCAGAGTGGACAGACTCCAACCTGTATTCAGTTCCAACTCCTGGATGCTGTCAGGCTGGAAAACCATCAGGACTTTCCTGACAGTGTACACGGGCAATGCCCATATCTGCATCTTCACACAGCACAGCCTGATGAAACTTCTTCTCTGCTGGGCCCACTGTAACAAGTATGTTTGCTGTTCATTCAGATGGAACCTGAGGCAAAGGTCTGCGACCACCTTCAAACGCTGCCTCAGGGCGTATCTAGGAGAGCGCTTCACCGCTTGCTTCTTACCCACAGCCTCTGCCGAGCACTCTCCATCCTCTGTGCCAGCCCAGACATCCCAGAAGTTGTGCTGCACATTCCTCAAGTCGAGCACCTGGAGCTTCCCCCTCCTGTGAGTAAGACAGGCAGAAACAGTGGAAGATATAAAAGACCAAACCCAGCCCGGCGGTGGCGGTGCACATCTTTAATCCCAGCATTCCTGAGGCAGAAGCAGGAAGATCTCTGTGAGTTTGAGGCCAGCCTGGTCTACAGAGGCAGCCAGGGCAGTCAGAGAAACCCTGTCTCGAAAAACAAATAACAGCAACAAACAAACAAACAAAGACCACACCCAGGCCAGGTTTTCCTCTCCATCTCTACTGCCACCTGTTCCCAGCTGTTCCGTGTGTTTATGATTCTCCGTCCTGGGTCTCCCAGAGCAGCTCCTGGCAAGGGCTCTTTACCAGAACTGCATATAAAGACCTGTCCAGCTTCCTCCCTGCAGTGACTCTTGACTCAGTCTTCCACTTCTAGAACCTGGGAGAGCCAGGGTAAGGCTTGTTTCACTGTGGCCACAACTGCTTTAAGCTGGACTCCATACCCAACTGTCCTTTTATACCAGGGCTCAACAGGGGTCAAGGCTTCTGCAATCTTCCAAGATAATTTAGATAATACCATCAAAATCCTCTCGTCTACCTTTGACCTCATTCTCCCTTACCCCAGATGTCCTTCCCCTGTACCATGCCCACCATTCTTCCCTACCTGGATCTTGCTTACCTGGGGAGCACCTTCTGTGTTCGCAGCATGTCTACTCCATCCAGGACTGCCTGCAAGGTCTCCAGGTGGGAAGTCTTCATGAGGGTCCCCACGGGAAGGAAGCTGAACGGCCAAACTGCTACCATAGCCCTCAGAATGTTACTTTGTCCGTGGTTGAAGGCTTCCTTGAACAGTGGTGGGAACAGCACCCTGGGCAGGAACTGCAGAGCAGAGATGGCCAGGGCTTCGTCCCTCAGCAGGCTCTGCACTGCCAGATGCAGGAGTGTGGGTGGGTCCCGACCACTCATTCTTCAGATCTTCAATCTGAAGCAATCTGGTGAAATATAAAGGAGGCTATGTCTTAGGAAACCCCACTTCTCACCTGTCTTAGTTACTGTTCTATTGCTGTGATGAGACACCATGACCAAGGCACCTCATAAAAGCATTTAGTTGGGGCTTGACTACAATTTCAGAATGCTAATTCAAGACCATCATGGTAGGTAGGCATGGCACAAGAACAGTAGCTTACAACCCATCTGCAAACAAACTGCAAAAGGAGGGCCTGGCATGGGCTTTTGAAACCTTCAAAGTCCATCCCTAGTGACATACCTTCTCAAAAAGACCACATCTCCTAGTCCTTCCAAAACATTGCAGCAACTGGGAACCAAACATTAAAATATAGAAACAGCATATGACCACACCTTTGTAACTGTGCTATCTAAATCCAGCCACTGTTCCTCCAAATTCAATTCCCTCTGGGACAGGGTATCCAGAAACCTAAGATTTAAACCCCATCCTTTTATGGCAACAGGGACACTAATCACCTCTCAAGATGCTCATGGCAAAGCCAAGGAATTATTTCATGTTGGGAGCTATAGATCCCTGGCCCCTTGACTTTCTTCGCCTGCAGCTGCTATGAGCAGCTTGATAGCAGACTGGTGGGCCTGCAGCTGATAGATCCCAAGAGCTGGGCGTGGCTAAGGATTCCTATATAAGCTGTCCCTGAGCACAATAAAGTGGGACATTTGGCATTCTTCTATCGAGGGTAGCCCGTGTCCCTCCACCTGTCTCTCTCCGCGTGTCTCCGTGCTTGTACGTGTTTAAGTCTCGGCTGAGTCTGGTTTGCGTACTGGTCCTGTAGTGGCATAGGCACTACATGACCATTTTCGTTTCCGGGTTTTTATAATTTCATGCCTAACCTTCCCAGATTAGACTTGTTTTATTTCTTTATTATTTTGGATATTTGAGACAGGGTTTCTTTGTAGTTTTGGAGCCACCACTACCCAGCAACTTAACTGCTCTTGTACAGGACCCAGATTCAATTCCTAGGACCTGCATGATGGCTCACAACTACCTGTAACATAGCACCAGTTCCAGGGGATTCAACAGGCACACGTGTGGCACACATACATGCATGTAGGCATAAAGTAAAATAAATAAATCTAAAAAAAAAATTTAAACCTGGGTGGCGGCAGCACGCATCTTTAATCCTAATATTCGGGAAGCAGAGACAGGTGGATCTATGTGAGTTCGAAGCCAGCCTGGTCTACAGCATAAGTTCCAGTAAAGTCAGGACTGTCCTAACAAAAAACCTTGTCTTGGGGGGAAAAAAAAAAGGAGCAAGCCTGGCAATGGTGGCAAACACCTTTAATCCCACACTTGGGAGACAGAGGCAGGCAGATCTAAGCCTGGTCTACAAGAGCTAGTTCCAGGACAGGCTCCAAAGCTAGAGAAACCCTGTCTCGAAAAAAGAAAAAAGAAAAAAAGGAGTACTGGCTGCTCTTCCGGATGACCTGAGTTTGGTTCCCAGCATCCACATGTTGGCTCACAACCGCCTGTAACTTCAGCACCAGGGGCTCTGCCCTCTTCTAGCCTTCATGAGCACCAGGCAAAAACACCCATTCACAAATAAAATTTAAAAATAAGAACAAAATAATTTTTTAGGTACTGGGGACTCATCCTAGGGCCTGGCCCATGCTAGACAAGTGCTCAACAGTAAGCTACATTTCCAACATTTATTTCACTTCATGCAGAGACAAGGTCACTTTGTGTACCCCATGACAGCCTGGAACTGGGCTTTCTTTCCCCATTGTGTCCCTAGTGCTATGATTCCAGGAGTGCTAGCAGCCCACCTAGCTTTGTTTTCATTTGAAAGGCAGTCTTGTTAAATTGACCAGGCTGAACCAACCACATTCCTACAGCTTCAGTCCCCAGAAGGGATGAGATGTCTTGTGTTACCAAAGCTCATTCCCAGTACTGTTGTAAAGAAACTTCAAGGTGGGTGGTGGTAGTGCACACCTTTAATCCCAGCACTCGGGAGGCAGAGGCAGGCGGATCTCTGTGAGTTCGAGACCAGCCTGGTCTACAAGAGCTAGTTCCAGGACAGGGTCCAAAACCACAGAGAAACCCTGTCTCGAAAAACAAAGAAAAAGAAACTTCAAGTTATAAAGCCACACAACAACTTAATAAGTATAATTTAAGGGACTGCAAACTAATTAACCAAATATAGAGCCGGAAAGTCAGGAGTTCAAGACCAGTCTGGAATTAATGAGACTTTGAGACTCAAAAGTCTGTTTGTTTCGTTTTGTTTTGCTTTTTCAAGATGGGGTTCCTCTGTGTAGCTTTGGAGTTTGTCCTGGAACTCACTCTGTATGACCAGGTTAGGCTCAAGCTCACAGAGATCCACCTGCCTCTGGCTTCCAAGTGCTTGGGATTAAATGTGTGCATCACTAGAGTTTGGCAAGACTCAGTCTTAAACTTAACATAACCAAATAACAACAACAACAAAAATTCCATTCAATGGGCATTTCTCATTACAGCCTGGTCTACAGAGCAAGTTCCAGGATAGCTAAGGATACACAGAGAAACCTTGTCATGAAAAAAAATAAATAAAATCCAAACACTAATGAGGTAGAATTAAGAAGATCAGCTACTTAAGGTCAGACAAGACTACATAAGACCATGTCTACAAAATAAAATAAAAGTTTTTGTTTTTTTGTTTGTTTGTTTTTCGAGACAGGGTTTCTCTGTGGCTTTGGAACTAGCTCTGTAGACCAGGCTGGTCTCGAACTCACAGAGATCCGCCTGCCTCTGCCTCCCGAGTGCTGGGATTAAAGGCGTGTGCCACCATGGCCCAGCTAAAATAAAAGTTTTAAGTCGCATATGATGGGACAGTCTAGTAACCTGTGTCCCAGTTCTAGGGAGGAATATCAAGAGCTCAAGGTCAATCAGACAGTGGTGGTTTTAGCTTTTAAGCCTTTAATCTCAGGACTCAGAGAGGCAGAGGCAGGAGTCCAGCCTGGTATGCTAAGCATTCAGGACAGTCGGAGATTTAACAGGGAAACCTTGGTGGGACAAACACACACACACACACACACACACACACACACACACCATGAAAAGCAAACAAACAAATAAATACCAAACAACAAAGAAGAGCCCCAGTTATATAGTGAGCTAAAGATCATCTTTGGCTACACAAGACTCTATTTCAAACAAAAATTGTGGGTTCCACTTCAATCTGTTCTGCATGTGACTATCTCTAAAATGAAAGGGAATTTAAAAATAAGCCTGCAACTCACCATGTAAACCAGGCCGGCCTCAAACTCCTCCTGCCTCTGCCTCCCGAGTGCTGAGATTAGCCAGGAGGTGGTGACGCATGCCTTTAATCCCAGCACTCGGGAGGCAGAGGCAGGCGGATCTCTGTGAGTTCGAGGCCAGCCTGGTCTACAAGAGCTAGTTCCAGGACAGGAACCAAAGCTACAGAGAAACCCTGTCTCGAAAAACTAAATAAATAAATAAATAAATAAATAGAGTGCTGAGATTAAAGGCGAGCGCCGCCACCGCCAGGCTGTTTACAATTCTAACAGGAGGATGAGGCAGTCTGAGGCCTTCCTAGAGACTGAGACCCTATGTGAATAACCAAAGAACATAAATTTTAAACGGATACAAGTGAAAGCATAATTCATATTCGATTAACTCACTATTCGAGTTTCAGCATGGGGAGGAGGAAGCAGAACTGCCAGGAGTTTAAACACACTGGCAAACACACAACAGTACGGAGGCTGAGGCGGGGGCTGAGGCAGGAACTGCGAGTGGGGGCTGGAAGTGGAATGTTTGATTGCTGGACCAACATGAGCTACATTCTAGGCAAGCCTGGGCAGCACAGGCTGCCGCCCCCGCCTCAAAAAAAATTAATAAAAATGAAACCAACAGATTAAGACATTTAATATGTTGGCAAACTTATTAGTAAGGGCAATTGACAACTTGAGTCAAATGGAGGTCACTAACTTACCAGAAACAAGCACTAATTACAGAACCCAGAACCCCAGAAGAGTCAGGCAGCCACTTTAAGCTTGCGCTCCAAGGCTGTGAGTATCTTTCCCGGCTCTTCTGAAGACTTTTCGGCCATCTTCACTTCACACTTCCGTCCTGAAGCTTTCGCATCCGGTGTTCCGCCTTACACTTCCGGGCTGAAGCTTCTCCTCACCCCCACCCCCACTCCACCCCCGCCCCTCCGTATTCCGTCTCATACTTCCGGTTTGTAGCCCCGCCTGCCAACCACAAGCTGTTACCCGATTGGATGACTGAGTCTCCGCCCTGTCTGGGCTTTTTCTGGCTCTGGATTTCGTTGCGAATGCTCTGTGAGCTGGAGAAAAAAAAAAAAAAAAGGGAAGGTTCGCGAAAGGACACCCGCCTTTGATTCCAGCCCTCTTAGAGGCAGAGACAGGCCTATCTCTGTGTGTTCAATGCCAAGTTCTCTAGGGCTGCGAGGGAAAAACAAAGAACCTGAAAGCCGCGGGAAATGGTGACTGGTGCGCGCCTTTAATCTCAGCCCTCCGGTGGCCGATTCAGGCAGATCACTGTGAGTTCAAACCCAGTCTGCTCTACATAGAGACCGTCAATATAGCCAGATCACGATAGTGGAACATTGTCTACGAAACAAAAAACACCATTAAAAATTTTAAAAACACTGGGCGGTGGTGGTGCACGCTTGTAATCCTAGCACTAGGGAGGCAGAGGCAAGAGGATCACTGTGAGTTCGAGCAGCCTGGTCTACAAGAGCTAGTTCCAAAGCTACAGAGAAACCCTGTCTCGAAAAACCAAAAGAACAAAAAGACAAAAAACCTTGGATCTGTGAAAGTCAAAAACCCAATCTCTATCACTTATTTGATTGTTTGATTTATATTGTTTTACTTGTTTACTTATGCCCTTCATTTTGGATTTGTTCCTTAAATGAAAAAAAGTAAATATGAAAGGACGGTAGTGTTCCTAGGTATGATGGAGTTTGGTTAATGTATTTGTTTTA